TTTGGATCCTCATCCTGCCTGCCACAGCAGTAAACATGACACCCTTGGACTTGTGTGCTTATGTGGCTTTGCTTAAATTTTTAATCGTCTCCTCCTTTTTTTTTTTGCTCCCTTTAGGTGTTCTCATCTCTCAGTCTGTTGCTTTGGATTTTTTCATTTTGAAAAACAAGCCATTTTAGCTCCTCTCGCTGTAAGGACAACTTTGTTCTGATTTGCTGCTTAGATTAAAACAGCGGATGGTTTGGATCACCATATTTACACCCAGGCTGTATGAAAGAAATCACTTATCTTTAGCATCATAATCTAAGAGTTGAAAAGTTGAGCATTTAGAGCAGTCTGAAGTCTGGGCTTTGCTTACAGGGATTACCTAGTCTTTCAAAGTAGCCCTGTGTAATGTGAGCACTCACCAATGTCACAGTATAATAACAGAAAATAAAGTAAAATAAAACAGGTCCACTTAAAGGGAAAATAAACATGAACTTGTTATAACTCTGCTCATTTTGTTTGTAACCTGGTTGTAGGTTTTTGTTTTTTATTGCTTCTTAAATGCTTGATTCGTCAGTTCAGTCCAACTTCAGCTTCGACCTTCGGACTTTTATCTGGTGATCTGTTGACCTCATCCACCTAACCCTTCCATTAAAAGTCACTACATCCAGCTGTCATCATGACAATAGTTAAAATAATAGTCTTTCTCAGACATGTTTATGTTTTCTTTAAACGCTTCTAACAAGTTGTTCATCTTGTAATTGTGTAAAAACAACTTATATTTTATATAGTTAAAGGTTTCTGTTAGTTGTTAATCATTGTTAAACTCACTTGGGTTTCTCTTAATATTAAAAATAACCAGTATCCAGTGTATATGCAGTACTCACCTCCCCAAGTGGCCTTATGAAGTCCTTTCCATATGATATAAGTAAAGAGGATTCCAGCCATTAAGAACTCGGAAATGGCATTGGCTATTGCAGAACCTCTGTAAAGATTATTTCAATGTGTCGTGTTGGTTATACAGTATGTGATGATGTCAGCTGATACCACTAAAGACGATATTAACAAAGTCATGTGCAATCCAATAAAACAAACTCACGCAACTCCAAGGTTTAACGGGAAGAGGACGATGTAGTTGATGAGTGCATTTAGAAGATTGACAACAAAGCCTGTGATGACCTGTGGCCATATAATGCCCTAAAACAGAAATGCAACAAGTTTATTTTAATTAGGAAATGGTGAAATGACAGGCCAGATAGACTGGGTAAAATAAGTATTGAACACGTCACCAATTTACTAAGTAAATATATTTGTAAAGCTGCTATTGCCATGAAATTCTCACTATATGTCAGCAACAACCCATCCAATCAACAAACGCAAAGAAATCAAACCATAGATGTCCATGCGTTCGATTTTAAGTAACAATGAGAAATGACACAGGGAAAAACTACTTAACACATGAAGAAAGGGAGGTTTAAAAAGGCATGGACAGTCATGACACCAGCTGAAATCAACCCTGTCACTTTTGGTTCAGTCCCAACTGATTGCTTATAAGTAGTATCTCATTTCCAAGGTGTCACACAAGAATCATCTCATGATGGGTAAAGCTAATGAACTCTCTCGAGCCCCTCCCAACCTTATTGTTGCAAATCATATTGATTGCGCTGGTTACAGCAGAATTTCTGAACTACTGACGTTTCCGATGAGCACTGTTGGGGCCATAATCTGGGAGAGGAAAGAACAAAATTTTTACCATGAACAGGTGCTAGCCGCAGGATTTCAGACAGAGGAGTGAAAAGAATTATCAGAAGAGTTGTCTAAGAGCCAAGCACCACTTGTGGAGAGCTACAGAAAGACCTTTAATCAACTGGTACAACTATTTCAAATCAATAAGTAATGCACTCAACTACCGTGCCCTGTATGCATGCTTACCACATACAGGGAGTGCAGAATTATTAGGCAAATGAGTATTTTGTCCACATCATCCTCTTCATGCATGTTGTCTTACTCCAAGCTGTATAGGCTCAAAAGCCTACTACCAATTAAGCATATTAGGTGATGTGCATCTCTGTAATGAGAAGGGGTGTGGTCTAATGACATCAACACCCTATATCAGGTGTGCATAATTATTAGGCAACTTCCTTTCCTTTGGCAAAATGGGTCAAAAGAAGGACTTGACAGGCTCAGAAAAGTCAAAAATAGTGAGATATCTTGCAGAGGGATGCCGCAGTCTCAAAATTGCAAAGCTTCTGAAGCGTGAGCATCGAACAATCAAGCGTTTCATTCAAAATAGTCAACAGGGTCGCAAGAAGCGTGTGGAAAAACCAAGGTGCCAAATAACTGCCCATGAACTGAGAAAAGTCAAGCGTGCAGCTGCCAAGATGCCACTTGCCACCAGTTTGGCCATATTTCAGAGCTGCAACATCACTGGAGTGCCCAAAAGCACAAGGTGTGCAATACTCAGAGACATGGCCAAGGTAAGAAAGGCTGAAAGACGACCACCACTGAACAAGACACACAAGCTGAAACGTCAAGACTGGGCCAAGAAATATCTCACGACTGGTTTTTCTAAGGTTTTATGGACTGATGAAATGAGAGTGAGTCTTGATGGGCCAGATGGATGGGCCCGTGGCTGGATTGGTAAAGGGCAGAGAGCTCCAGTCCAACTCAGCAAGATGGAGGTGGAGAACTGGTTTGGGCTGGTATCATCAAAGATGAGCTTGTGGGGCCTTTTCGGGTTGAGGATGGAGTCAAGCTCAACTCCCAGTCCTACTGCCAGTTTCTGGAAGACACCTTCTTCAAGCAGTGGTACAGGAAGAAGTCTGCATCCTTTAAGAAAAACATGATTTTCATGCAGGACAATGCTCCATCACACACGTCCAAGTACTCCACAGCGTGGCTGCCAAGAAAGGGTATAAAAGAAGAAAAACTAATGACATGGCCTCCTTGTTCACCTGATCTGAACCCCATTGAGAACCTGTGGTCCATCATCAAATGTGAGATTTACAAGGAGGGAAAACAGTACACCTCTCTGAACAGTGTCTGGGAGGCTGTGGTTGCTGCTGCACGCAATGTTGATGGTGAACAGATCAAAACACTGACAGAATCCATGGATGGCAGGCTTTTGAGTGTCCTTGCAAAGAAAGGTGGCTATATTGGTCACTGATTTGTTTTTGTTTTGTTTTTGAATGTCAGAAATGTATATTTGTGAATGTGGAGATGTTATATTGGTTTCACTGGTAAAAATAAATAATTGAAATGGGTATATATTTGTTTTAAGTTGCCTAATAATTATGCACAGTAATAGTCACCTGCACACACAGATATCCCCCTAAAATAGCTAAAACTAAAAACAAACTAAAAACTACTTCCAAAAACATTCAGCTTTGATATTAATGAGTTTTTTGGGTTCATTGAGAACATGGTTGTTGTTCAATAATAAAATTATTCCTCAAAAATACAACTTGCCTAATAATTCTGCACTTCCTGTATTGCTGAAGAAACAGCAAATTGGTGATGTGTTCAATACTTATTTTACCCGCTGTACATGACATCATTACAGTTTTCCACAACAGACAAAAGGATGATTAAATATCTGACTGATTTCCTGTAATCAAAAACAGCAGTTCGCAGTGTTTGTCAAGTAAAGTGAATCATAGTTTTATTGACATGAAAGGGCTCAAGGAGCTCTGATCTCCTTGCTATCTGTATGTGGACACCATCAATTATTAAACATTGTAGCCAGTAGGACTGGAGTCTCACTTACAGACACATATTGTATATTCAATCCACTCTATCATTTTGCAGATAAAAGAAGAACACAATCTGTATACCCTGCGATCCAAACTGTATTATTCAAAATAATCACGGAGATATTTACCTGGTTTTGCAGATATCTTGTTTCTAATGAGTACATGAATGCAGCCTGTGGCACACAGAAACACACACACACCAAAAAAATAAAAAACAGAATGAAAAGAACAACATAGTCTGAGTTGCAATTATTTGAAACATTTTATTCTAATGTGATTAGACTGGGACTCATCCTGTTTGGTAGTGACAGCTTGTTACATCATCAAATACACCTGTACAAGGGGGAAAATAAGTAGAGCTATGCTGTACTAGGTAAGTTAACCAACTAAGTAAGTGTCCAGCAGAGACTTTATAGACTCATTGATTTCTACTTAAAATAACGCGATCACTAGCTACTTAAAAAACAGGGTTGAATTTATCTAGCTGACTAGTTAGCCCACTTTGGAAAAGATTTTACTGTGGGGATATTTGATTTCTGTGTCTGGGATTAGCAAGGCCTCCTTTTTGTAGGTGTATTTTTATTTGGAAGAGTGACTCTAAATCTATCTTAAAACATTAATAAAAGGGACATGCAAGGAACAATCAGGTCAGCCTCCAAGGAGATGCATGTCACCCTCTTCCTCTCTCCCACTTAGATGACTTTCCACTTGGTTCAATTTTGTGGCTTTTGTGTTGCACACACATGCACACTTAGCTTTAGACATACTTACAGGAAGTGCGGGCATAAAGATCTTCACATACATCTGACACAACCTTGAAAGAGAGAGAGACTGATTTTATCCCATCAAAATGAACACACATTTTAAAATTCAAGAAAGCATTAGCGGATTGTGACGGCTGACCTTGCCACCTCTGGTTCTTGTCTGACAGCCAGCAGAATTGGCTCTGTGTTAATAAGGATGGCCCAGCAGGGGAAGCAGGCCAGGAGCAAAATGAGGATGGCCCGCTGCAGAATAACTCCAATTTTCAGCAGGTTATGGCTTCCAAAGGTCTAAAAGCACAGAACAGTTTAGTCTGCCATTACTATTGTTAAGCACCGATGATAAATTATTTGTGATGGATCAAAGATTCGCACCTGAGAAACCAGAGTATCACATGCTGATGCCAAACCACTACCAATAGATATACCTGTAACATTAATAACCTGGAAATACATTAGAAAACATTGGTGGATTGGATGTCACTTTTCTATTGGTTTAATGACTTAATAAAAGGTGAGTGTTTGAATTTCACTTACTGCAATGGCCAGAGACACTCCTGCCAGCTCTGTCTTCCCCAGATGGCCACAAAATATTGTACTTACAAGGCTCAAGGAAAAATTCATGAGCTGGGATATCATCTGATAAGGAAATTCGAAATTAATTAAAAGTTGCCAGGGCAACAAAAACAGCTATTAAAAACTAGTAATTTACAGCGTGAGCGGCCAATTTGTTCTGTACGATATATACCATACCATGCCATACCACCTTTATTTATAAAGCACTTTAACATAAAACCAGAGTTCACAAAGTGCTGTACATGCTAATAGCATAAGT